ATAGAAAATAAGATTATTCAAAGACATTTTTATTAAGAATTATGTCAGTTCTCATCAAAAAGTAACATTTTATGAAACTTATAACCTTTTTGGTTTTATATATACCTATGAATTATACTTTGAGTATTTTAGTTAAGTTTTAAGAAGTCACAGCAGATATTATAATGTATTATAATTGTTTCTATTACAAGTGATAAGAACAGACCAGCAGGTGGCATAATGGTTACATTGCTGGACTCCCAGGTAGTCAACCGTGGTTTAAGTCCTGGACCCAACACCTTAAAACTCATGCCGGGAATGTGTGCATACGTCCCCAAAACCCTGAGAAGAGAATGGAGGAGAATGGATTGCAGCATGGCCATCCCCTCTGGGGGATGATTTCTCATTTTCTCTCTCTCTGTCTCTCTGGCAAGTGCACACACCCTATAGCAAAAATATCTCTCTTAAAAAAAAGTGATAAAAAGGGGCCATCCAGTGGTGTGGTGGTGAAGGCAGCTGCATCCTACACAGCTGTGTGGTTCAAGACCCAGATCTAGCAGTCTGAGAAACATACCACGTACATGTATGGAAGGAAATTGAATAGTTCTTTTTTTCCTTTTTATCTAATTTTACTGCAGTAAATTGTAATGATCTATCATCTATTTAGAATTTCTTACTGTTTAGAAGTCTCTTTTGCAGATGCAATCTTCAAAATTTATTCTTTACCTTAAACACTCACACACACACACACACACACACACACACACACACAAACCTCAAGGTGCAATTTAAAACTCTGCCGCCAGGTGGTGCATAAGCAAGCTTTTAGTATTCAAAGCATACTACAACCGCCCTAATTTAAATCAGCTCTTTATTCTTCCTTTATTTAAAACAACAACAACCTTATCAACGCTACCAAATTGAAACTATTTGAATGTGTGTGCATGCCCAAAATCCTAAGAGGAGAATAGAGGAGAAAGTTTTGTGGCGTGACCATTTTCTGTGTGCTTGCGGGGAAGGAATGCTTTTTTTTACTTTCTCTCTCTCTCTGCCTCTCTGTTTCTCTCACTGGAAAGTGCATGGACTCTTTATCAAATTTAAAGAAAGAAAGAAAAAAGGAAGAAATGAACAAAGGATGGAAGGAAAGGAAAGAATCCTCTATGCTTTCAGATGGAAACTCTGATTTTCAAGAATAGGTTACTGATGTAAAACAGGAAATGCTTGTATAGAAAAACTATATATACCATTTTAGAAATGTAACCCCAAAGGATGAAGTCATTTGCCCAAACTCATGGAGCCCCAAAGAGAAAGAGCCCTGTAGTCTGGTTCTGAAGGCTGTGCTCTAACCTCTTCCACTGTTGTCCTGCTCTGTCTCACAAATGTGTGTGCCTTGGGTCAGCATTTCTCAATTCTTGGTCAATAGTGTAATAAATTGCAATGTTACTAGATTTGTGTGTTACCTAAGAGGGAGTGCTGTGACTACTGAGATTAGGCAATGCTGAGTTTAATGATAGCATACTACTTTACTTTTCAGAGCCAAATGTACACTGTGATTCTCAAAGGGTGGTAGGTGAGGAAGAGTTTAGCATTTTTCAGACTATTGTGAGATTTGTATCAATTAAAGATGTGTTTCATGGGACCAGCAGATGGCATAGTGTTTACATCATTGGACTCCCACAGGCCGACTACAGTTCACGTCCCAGACCTGGTGGCTTAAAAATCACACTGGGTTCGTATGTGCGCATTCCTAAAGTCCTGGGAGAATGGAGGAGAAGGGATTGCGGCATGGCTATCCCTTGTGTGGGGGGTGATTTCTCACGTTCCCTCTCACTGACTCTCTCTCTCTCACACACACACACACACACACACACACACACACACACAAACCTCAAGGTGCAATTTAAAACTCTGCCGCCAGGTGGTGCATAAGCAAGCTTTTAGTATTCAAAGCATACTACAACCGCCCTAATTTAAATCAGCTCTTTATTCTTCCTTTATTTAAAACAACAACAACCTTATCAACGCTACCAAATTGAAACTATTTGAATGTGTGTGCATGCCCAAAATCCTAAGAGGAGAATAGAGGAGAAAGTTTTGTGGCGTGACCATTTTCTGTGTGCTTGCGGGGAAGGAATGCTTTTTTTTACTTTCTCTCTCTCTCTGCCTCTCTGTTTCTCTCACTGGAAAGTGCATGGACTCTTTATCAAATTTAAAGAAAGAAAGAAAAAAGGAAGAAATGAACAAAGGATGGAAGGAAAGGAAAGAATCCTCTATGCTTTCAGATGGAAACTCTGATTTTCAAGAATAGGTTACTGATGTAAAACAGGAAATGCTTGTATAGAAAAACTATATATACCATTTTAGAAATGTAACCCCAAAGGATGAAGTCATTTGCCCAAACTCATGGAGCCCCAAAGAGAAAGAGCCCTGTAGTCTGGTTCTGAAGGCTGTGCTCTAACCTCTTCCACTGTTGTCCTGCTCTGTCTCACAAATGTGTGTGCCTTGGGTCAGCATTTCTCAATTCTTGGTCAATAGTGTAATAAATTGCAATGTTACTAGATTTGTGTGTTACCTAAGAGGGAGTGCTGTGACTACTGAGATTAGGCAATGCTGAGTTTAATGATAGCATACTACTTTACTTTTCAGAGCCAAATGTACACTGTGATTCTCAAAGGGTGGTAGGTGAGGAAGAGTTTAGCATTTTTCAGACTATTGTGAGATTTGTATCAATTAAAGATGTGTTTCATGGGACCAGCAGATGGCATAGTGTTTACATCATTGGACTCCCACAGGCCGACTACAGTTCACGTCCCAGACCTGGTGGCTTAAAAATCACACTGGGTTCGTATGTGCGCATTCCTAAAGTCCTGGGAGAATGGAGGAGAAGGGATTGCGGCATGGCTATCCCTTGTGTGGGGGGTGATTTCTCACGTTCCCTCTCACTGACTCTCTCTCTCTCTGGTGAGCACACATGCCCTAAGACAAAAACATCTTAAAGTGTTCATAGCTTATAAAATATAACATATATACATTGTATATGTATATGTGCATATGCATGTAAATATATGCCTTATAACATACCAGCACTGCCTTAAATAAATGTGTGTCTATTTGTCCCACAAAATGAGAAGTCTGGGATTAGGCTCATTT